GCCCGCCGTCCGCAACCTGCGGCTGCACCTCTACAAGGAGACGGACAAGAAGAGGCGCAAGGTGAGGCGGGGGGCGGCGCCCCGAGAGGAATACTGCCATTCTGGCTCGGACACAGCTCTGACTGGAATAGCACGGTAATAATCGTGTCGTTACACTCCAGGGACACAGCTCTGACTGGAATAACACGGTAATAATCGTGTCGTAACACTCCAGGGACACAGCTCTGACTGGAATAGCACGGTAATAATCGTGTCGTTACACTCCAGGGACACAGCTCTGACTGGAATAGCACGGTAATAATCGTGTCGTTACACTCCAGGGACACAGCTCCTGGAATAACACAGTAATAATTGTGTCATAACACTGCAAGGAACAGTGATAATACTGTCACACCTCTGACTAAAATAAAATGGTAATAGAGGTGTTGTAACACTGCAGGGACATAGTGATAATACTGCCACAGCTCTGGCTGTAATAACAGAATGGGATAACACAGTAATAATCTTGTTGTATACATCATGGACGCAGCTCTCACAGGAATCACAGATTGGAATAACAAGGTAATAATCATGTCATAACGATAGCTGTAACACAGCTCTGGCTGTAATAACACCGTAATAATGATCATGTTGTAACACTTCAGGGACAAAGCTCTGACTGGAATAAAAGACAGGAATAACGGGAATAACGGGAATAATTGTGTTGTAACACTGCAAGGAGACAGTGATAATACTGCCACACCTATGGCTGTAATAAAAGAATGAAATAACAAGGTAATAATCATGTCATAACACTGCAGAGACACAGTGATAACCCTGTCACAACTCTGACTTTAAAAACAGACTGCAACAACATGATAACAATTGTGTCAGACTGTAAGAACACTGTAATAATCATGCCATATCACTGCAGGGACACAGTGATAACACTGTTCAACTGACTGTAATAACATGGTAATAATCTTATCACAACTTTACAGGAACAACATGGTAATAATTGTGTCTTTACACTGCAGAGAGACAGTGATAATACTGCCACACCTCTGGCTGTAATAACAAACTGGAATAAAACGATAGTAATCGTGTCATAACACAGCACTGGCTGTAATAACAGACTGTAATAACACTGTAATAATTGTTATAACACTGCAGGGACACAGTGATCATACTGCCATAGCTCTGGCTGTAATAACAGAATGAAATAACACGGTAATAATCATGTCGTAACACTGCCGAGACACAGTGATAACACTGTCACAACTCTGGTTGTAATAACAGACGGTAATATCATGGTAATAATCGTGTCATAACACTGCATGGACACAGTGATAATACTGCCACAGCTCCGGCTGTAATAATAGACTGGAATAACACAGTAATAATCTTGTCATAATGCATCATGGACACAGCTCTGACTGGAATCACAGACTGGAATAACACAGTAATAATCGTGTCTTAACACTGCAGGGACACAGCTCTGACTGTAATAACAGACTGGGATAACACAGTAATAATCGTGTCGTAACACTGCAGGCACAGAGTGATAATACTGCCACAGCTCTGACTATAATAACAGAGTGGAATAACACACTAATAATCGTGTCGTAACACTGCAGGGACACAGTGATAATTCTGCCACAGCTCCGGCTGTAATAACAGGATGGGATAACACAGTAATAATCTTGTTGTAACACTGCAGGGACACAGTGATATTACTGTCACAGGTCTGTCACCCGACTGTAATAACACAGTAATAATTGTGTCATAACACTGCATGGACACAGTGATTTTACTGTCACAGCTCT